CAGAGGACACAGTGGGGAGGCGGTGGTAGCGAGTTGACTGTGGTTGCCTGGTTGCGCGCGAGTGAGGGAGTGAGCGGTTGGACCGGCGCGGAGGCGGAGGCGGAGGCAGCGGCGGTGCGCCATTTCCCCGCTCTGACCACGCCCCCACATACAGCGTCACAACCCAGTGACCTGGGACTCCAAGGCGCCGCTTTTCCCACTTAAAGGGCCAGAACAGACCAAAAATGTCGCAGGCAGAACTCAAAGCCCCAGAGATAAATCTAAATGACGAAGAAATAGCAAAACTCTCAGACGCACGGTTTAAAACACTGGTCATCACCTTCCTCACAGATCTGGTGGATTATAGCCACAAATTAGAGAAACATATGAAGGCTAAATTAAGGGAAATGAATGGAATTCCACAGGAAACCCATAGAGATGAAAAGGAAACTGGGACTCAAATCAATGAAGTGGACCAGAAGGAAGAAAAAAATGATCAAACAGAAAGGAATGAAGAAATAAGAATTCAGAAAAATGAGGAGAAGCTTAGGAACCTCCAGGACATCTTTAAACGCTCCAATATCCGAATTATAGGGGTACCAGAAGGGGGAAAGACACAACCACCAGTGGAAAAACTATTTGAACAAATAATAAAAGAAAATTTCCCCAATCTGGCAAAGGAAATAGACTTCCAAGAAATCCAAGAAGCCCAGAGAGTACCAAAAAAGTTGGACTCAAGAAGAAACACACCAAGGCATATCATAATTACATTAGCCAAAATTAAAATGAAGGAAAGAATCCTGGAAGCAGCAAGAGCTAAGGGGACAATCACCTACAAAGGAGTCCCCATCAGGCTGTCAGCAGATTTCTCAAAAGAGACCTTACAGGCAAGAAGGGGCTGGAAAGAAATATTCCAAGTCATGAAATCTAAAGACCTACAACCAAGATTGCTCTACCCAGCAAAACTTTCATTTAGAATGGAAGGACAGATAAGGTGCTTCTCAGATAAGACCAAATTCAAGGAGTTCATCATCACCAAGCCCTTATTATATGAAATGTTAAAGGGACTTATCTAAAAAAAAAGAAGTTAAAGAAACATGAACAGTGAAAGGACAACAAACTCACAGTTATTAACAACCACACCTAAAACGAAAGCAAACTAAAAGGACAGCTAGAGCAGGAGTGGAAACATAGAAATGAAGATCTCAAGGAGGGTTAGCAACAGGGGAGTGGGAGGAGGAGATGGGGGGAGAAGGTACAGAAAACAAGTAGCATAGACAGTAGATAGAAAATAGATGGGGGGGGGGCGAGAATAGTATGGGAAATATAGAACCTAAAGGACTTGAGACACATGGACATAAACTAAAGGGGGGTAATGGTGGGGTTGGGGGGGCAGGGTGGAGGGGAATGAAGGGGGGAATAGAACAACTGTAACAGCATAATCAATTCAAAAAAATAAATAAATTAAAAAAAAAAAAAAGAATGTAACAATTTAAATAAAAAAATAAATAACATGCTACTGGATCACAACCCAAAATATAAAATATACATGAGTCCATAACAATACAAATAAATGATTGAATAAATGGGGAAATGAAAAAAATCTTCCCTACAGAAAAAGTCCAAATATAAGTAGCTGTCAGCCCACTGGCCCCCTTTTGAATATAAGCTGAACTCAGTAACTCACCTCTACAGAACAGAGTACAGAAAGGAAAGAAATGGTAACTTTAAAGTGGAGAAACCCATCAAACGCTACGTTAAACATGTGACTGAGATCAACATTACTACGGATGTCATGTGACTAACATGTATCCGCTGAAATGATGCAATGAAAAGAGCACTCCACCACTGTGGCATTCTTTTCAAAACCCCACAACCTCAGTCTAACCATGAGAAAAACATCAGAGAAACCCAATTTGAGAGACATTCTATGAAATACCTGACTATACTCCAATAAACTATGAAGGTTAGAAAAAGCAAAGACTGAGAAGACAGACCAGAGGAGACTAAAGAGACATGACAACTAAGTGCAATGGGGTACTCTGGACTGGATCCTTAGGCAGAAAAAGGACATTTATGGAAAACCTGGTGAAAGCCAAATAAATCTGGTACATTAATAACATACCATTAGCCCTGGCTGGTGTAGCTCAGTGGATGGAGCACGGGCCTGCAAACCAAAAGATCGCAGTTCGATTCCCAGTCAGGGCACATGCCTGGGTTGCAGGCCAGTTCCCAGCAGGGGCCAGTTCCCAGCAGGGGTCGCATGAGAAGCAACCATACAGTGATATTTCTTTCCCTCTCTCCTTCCCTTCCCCTCTAAAGATAAATAAATAAAATCTAAAATAAATTTAAAAAAAAAATAACATACCAAAGTTGGTTTCTTAGTTTTGATAAATATACTGTGGTAATGTAATGAATGGTAGTGAAATTAAATGAGTGTACGAGAATTTTTTATACTATCTTTGCAAATTTTCCACAAATCTAAAATTATTCCAAAACAGAAAGCTTATTTAAAATTTTTTTCAAAACACTGCACCAAAAAACTGCAGATACGTATTTCCTTCAAGCACAAATGGACTATTCACCAAGGTAAATTATATATTGGGCCATAAAACATGTCTTAACAAATTTCAAAAGATCAAAATATTACAGAGCATGTTCTCTGACCTCAGTGGAATTAAATTGGAAATCTGTAATAGTAAGATATCTAGAACAGTCTGAATATTTGTAATTTAACAGTGCCCTCCTAAGTAACTCATGAATCAAAGAATGAACCGAAAGAAAAATTAGAAGTTATTTTGAACAAAATCCAACCTACATGCCTGAAAAAAAAGTCTCAGCAAACTAGGAATAGAAAGGAACTTTCTTAACTCAATAAAGGGAATCTATAAAAAAGCTATAGCTTAAAACATATGTAATGGTAAGAAACTGAATGTTGTCCTTCTAAGATTAGGAACAATGCAGAGTTTTCTTTTTCTCTAAGATTAGGAACCAGGCTCTTAATATTTTTATTCTACATCTGCACTGGAAGTTCTAGCTAGTGCAATAAGAAAGAGAAACAAAAGGCATATGGGTTGGGAAGGAAGATGTAAAACTGTATCCACACAGGACATGATCCTCTAAGTACAAAATCTTATGGAATCTACAAAAAAGCTATTGTGCTTTACTCCAAAGAAAACAGCTTGATAATATTTGTTGCCAAATTTGAACTCTCAAGTATAAATTAGAATTTTGAAAAGCTTGTATCCATCACCACAAACTCTTTAGTGTCCTATTATTTAAAGATTTTTGTGATAAGAGGCAATGTTAACAAATGATTATTTGATATTGCATAATGAAATATGTCAATATTTGGAAGGTCCAAAAAAACAGCAAAATAATATTTTCCAAATGAGTAGTGTACAATGTTATAAAATAATGGAGTGGTGAAATATCCACCCCAAAGCAGGGGAGGGGGGAACCCTAATGGATTTTAATATAACAGTATTAAAAGTCTTTTTGATAGTTTTAATTTCTTAAAATTTATTTATTTATTTTTAAAGAGAGGGAGAAGGAGGGAGAAAGAGGGAAAGAAACATCAATGTGTGAGAGAAACATCCATCTGCCGCCTCTTGCACACACCCCAATCAGGGACCTGGCCCAAGATCCGGGCATGTGCTCCCCCAGGGAACTGAACAGATGACCTTTCGCTTTGTGGGGCGACACCAAACCAACTGAGCCATAACAGTCAGGGCTTGGTATAGTTTTAGATTCCACATTACAAATAACTGGGGTTTTTGTGCAGTATCAAAAAATATAATACATTCTTGTTTTCTAATCACCTCTATATAAGGCTGAATTTTCTTCCTATCAACTAAATATATTGCAACATACTAAATGCAGAATCCTATCTACTATTAAGCCAGATGTGAGTGAGATTTTCAAAATGTAAACCAATTCCTCACCCTGACCAGTGCAGCTCAGTTAGTTGGGTGTCATTCTGTAAAGTGAGGGGTTGCTGCTTCAATTCCCAGTCAGGGCACATGACTGCATTGAGGGTGTGGTCCCAGGTCAGGGCACATGTCAGAGGCAACCAATCAATGTTTCTCTCTCATATTCTCCCTCTCCTTGACATTTCTCTCTTCTCTTTCTCCCTCCCTTACCTTCTCCTCTCTCTAGAAATAAAATAAATGAAATCTTCTTAAAAAATATAAACTAATTCTTCTATTTTTTGTTTGAAAAATATAAGTATTTTTATTTTAAAATATGGTAATTATGCTAATATAATGGCTTCATTATTTTTTAATGAATAAATGCTTTTTAAACTTCTCAGTTTAATTTTAAATGTGGTAAATATTAAAAATATTAATAGATATAACCAATACAAATAAAAGTTTTTCAAGGTCTTCAATAATTTTTAAGAATGTAAAAGGGTCTTGAGATCAAAAAATTTGAGAATCACTGTATTAGATGCTTGAACAACAATGTCTTTCAGTAGGCAAGAGGAGGTGGGAATCAACATGTAAGTAGAGGAACTGACTTCGGATAGGTGTACACACTGTTCACCCATGGTAACAGACCAGAAGTTAGAGCATGTGAGCTCATACACAGGCAGGTGAAAAGGTAAGGTGGTAGGTGTCAGTGAGGTATTACAAGTAATCACTCCTAAGACAGTGAAGAGATGGTTCAAGGGCTACATTTTAGATACAACATATAGAAGGCTCTAGACTGCCACCCATTATTCATCCCCTAAACCTTAGAAAATATTACTGGAGTAACAATTTCAAAAACATAAGGTATCCCATCTGGACTAGCTGATTTCTTTCTCCAGAGGTTTTCAAGCTTTGAAAAGGAAAAAAAGAGGAGTGTACTAAGCATGGGAAATGGGATTTGAGGACCTCGGGAATAGAAGCAAGCAAACCACAAATTATTAACCTTGTCATTAGAGCAGAGAATGAAGCAGAGTGTAGAGTGATTTGCAGTTAGAGAAGGTCAGGGTCAGATGGAAGAAAAAAAGAAGTATAGAAAATATTCAGGTGTACCTGTCCACTCCATCCCAGCGATACCCAGGCCAGATATTGAATCTGTTGGGAGGAGGTGCTGGTCCACTATAACGAGGTCTCACTAATGAGAAAAAAAAAGAAAACACATCAGTTATCTACACAATTCAGTTCGGGGGGGGGGAATATTACACAGAAATCTCAATATTAAGTTGAACCTAAACTCCCAAAGACAAGAAATCTAGGATTCTATGGGAAAGCCTTCTTTGCACATAGCTTTGTATCATCACCCTAATGATCCTCTCATCATGTAAGTCATCTCCACCTCTGATGATTCCCAGATGGCTCACCTTTCTTATTCTTGTTCTCCTTGGCCTTATTCTTCTTGATGAAATTGGCCATGGGATCCCCCTCTCTTTCTTGTTCTCTCAGCATCCGATCCAGATCTTCATCATCAATATACCGGGCCAGAGGCTTTTGCATTTCCTTTATTGCATCCTCCACATTTTGCTGCTGTTGCCGGCTCTGGACAAGCCTGGGCAAAAAGAACCAAGAGAATCTGCTATACTGTTTAGCATTTTTACTCTTACATCTTCACTTACATGAACCACACCACTACATTCGAAAAACTTCCTCTTTATAGCAGCCTAGGCCAAATAATGAAAAGGATAAAATTCCTAGAATACCACTGGCAGTGGAAAATACATCAGTATTTAGAAAGGAGACTGAACACAATGAGCTTCCAATTCCTGAAAAGAGCGTTAAAGACAGAACATAAACCAACTGGTCAGAAGAGTATGGAAATAACTCCTTCCAGTCACTGCAGTCTTGTTTTACCTTTCAGTGGCCTCCTTACCCTTTTCCCCACTGGGCATACAGCTCATCTCTCTCTGAGTCCCTCTCTGCTTTTCTCCTTTGCTGTAAATGTTCCAGTTTCAAATTCCTCTTACGACCAGACTTATCTCGAAATATGGTTTCAGCATATTGGAATTCACCTGCAAAGGAAAATTATACATTTAAAGACAAACATCAGGTATCAAAATCAGAAATAATATTTTAATAGCTGGAATCAACTACTTAGGATTCTGATACTAAGTAAGAACTTCTGCAGCCAGACTACAAGTAGTTCCTAGTAATACCTAAGTGCATATTAGTGATGATCTTAAAAACTATTATGTTTCAAGGAAAAGAACCACTTGGACCCACTGAGAAGTTAAAATAATGCATAATACCAGAGTTGGAATTTGAAAGCAATTAAAAGTTTAAAATATCAGATACAATAAGCTACATTTAAAAAAGAAAAGCAAAGCTACATGAACCTCAACTGATCTCTGCACTTCCACATTTTTACCTTCAAATGCCATGGTTTCTTGGTCCCGTTTCTTGAGTTCCTGCTGTTCTCGCTGTATGTCAGTTAACACCAACCCAGTTTTAGCCCCAGAATACATGTGTGCAGCCTATGCAATGGAAAAGGGAGTATCCAACATTAATGAGACAAAGCAGCAGTAGGCTCTATGGGTATACACAGTTAGGTGCATTTTTGTCTAAAGACTGGCAATAACCAAATTAAAAACTAACTTTGTAACCTCATTATTAGGCACGGGATTCACAAAATAGAAAAGAAAATTAAATTTGATGGAAAATCAATAGTACTATCAAGTTTAAGAGTAAACCAAAACATAAACCAAGAAGATATGAAAGAGTAGGCTAAGCACCTGTATTTCTGATTTTTCAGCATATAAACTGCATGAAGAAGGCTCACTCTCAGGCCACTTGACCAGAAACCTGTATCAAGCTCTAAGCAATCCTGTAGAGACTCACACTATAAAATATTCCACTGAAAATATAAATTCATACCTAAGGGGTGTCCAACTCGCAGCCCGCAGGCCACATGTGGCCCAAGATGGCTATGAATGCAGACCAACACAAAATAATAAATTTACTTAAAACCTTTTTTTGCTCATCAGTTTTCATTAGTGTTCGTGTATTTAATGTGTGGTCCAAGACAACTCTTCTTCCAAGGTGACCCAGAGACACCAAAGGTTGTATACCTGTTAGTTAGCAAACCCTCCAGCAGAGATCCACTCTGATAAAATATTCCATTTAAAATACAAACTCAAACCTAACATACTTAAATTGTGGATATATTTCAGGATAATAAAAAGATGTGACCGAATCAAAACTTTTTACTGAACTCCACTGTGTATCAAGATAACAAACCAACCCACAAATGGAACATTAGAGTATATCCAGATATCCTTGAGCCATGTGCTATATTTGATCAATATTAAATTGTCCATGGACTAAACAGATACATAAAATGCCAAGGGGTCCAGCTGAAACAAAGCTCTTACTTTATGACCCAAAAGAGAAGAGGCCTGCTTCCTGGGTTAGGGACAGGCTAGTCTACCCTGCCAGGCAGGACCACATGGGCTACAGGGCAGACTTATATTAAAAAGTCTGTGTTGGAGTAAGAGGTGCACACTACAGGTTCTATCATTCTGTTCCTTAACCAACTCACTGGAATAAAACTCCTTTACTAGTACTGGTGTACCGTAAAACACAATTGCTCAGGGTTCATATGGATCTTTTTACGTAACTCGGACTACATCACAGATTTCAAATAAAATACTACATTGACTTTCCAGGTGACATGATTTCTAAAAGTAGCTTTGTATTTAAAGAGTCACTCTTTAAATCTGACCTACACTCAAATTAATAATAATTAATAAACATCATCATCATCATCTTGCACCAAATGCTTACTTTGTCCCAGGCACTGTGATACAAGTTTTACTTACACCAACTCATTTAGTTGTCACAATAACCTTATGAAGTACATACTGTTATCCACATTTTACCAATAAAGAAGCTGAGGCTTAGAGAGATTATGTACCTTGCTCAAATTTCACAGATAGAAAGTGGAAAAGGATTTGAATATTTGCTACATTTGATGCAAGCTTTGTGCTCCTAACTCTGTGTGAACTATAGTTCTTAGTTTATGCCTAAGAAAATAGAGAGTTTTCTAGACCTATTAAAATGATATTTATGGAAACAAGATGATGTGAAGCCAGAAGCTACTTAGGAACTCTGGTATTTGCAAGTTCATCTGGGCTAAGTGAGAGGTAGTCCGCCTTCAGAGAAAAGGAAAGACCCCTAAGAGGTCCCTTGAACTAGATTTACTATACCACCAAGCTATACCTCCTCCTCCTCCTCCTCCTCCTTCTCCTCCTCCTCCTATGGCTTGGAACTCTAGGGCTTGTATAGAGCTAGAAGACAGGAGTCACTCCAAGAGGAAAATATGGGTCCTGAAAATTCCTACCTTTGTTCCCAAAGGCTGAGTCCTTCGAGGTGGAGACAGATCAGAATCCGAAGATTTGGCCCTCTGTTTCTTCCTTGGTGGAGAGAGGTCAGAGTCAGAGCTCTGGTGTCTAGGTCTATTCCGTGAAAGTGACAGATCTGAATCGGAATCCTGGCGCCCTGACCTTTGTTTATTCCGTGGAGGAGAAAGATCTGAATCAGAGGCTTTCCGACTGTCACTTGGGTAGGAAGAAGAGTCCAACGTGTGACTCTGATGTCTTCTAGATAAAGAGCTTGAATGAAATTTCCTATGGCTGGGTGAAGAGCCTAGGAATTAAAGAACAAGACTGTAATCCGCTTGTCAGAATTTTAAAAAAGAACTTACTAAGTTAACGTTCAACATTCATTTAAGTCCTCCTGTATCACTAACCTAAACACAAGTACTGATAACATAGGAGGAGAGCAAAGTCAGATACAGTTTTTAAAACCAACAGACGGGATATAGGGTTCCATTCCCAAGTTACTAGTGATATGATTAGTATGGGAGATCACAACATACTCTTCTATGTCATATTCATCTACACATAGAATAGGCAAAATTTCCTACACTCAAATATCAGTGGTGTGGTGAAAATTAAAACTACCCAGGATATATTCTGAAGTCCTCAGACTAAAGGATAAGAATATATTTGAACTTAAAAATTAAAACAGTAACTAAGGACAAAAGATGAAAAAATTTCACCATATAGGCCCAAAATGTAGACATAAGCATCACAAATTACCTCCCCAAAACACAATTAGCAATATGTATCAATGATCTTTAAACACAACTCTCTAATCCAGTAAATCAATTTCTATTTAAGTTTCCTAAGAAACATATCTAGAAGTACTTAATTTCCAAGAAATCTATCTAGAAGTAGAGAAGGAAATAATCCACAATGGGCAACAGTTTATGTACACAGATGTTCATTATAGAATTACTAAAGCAAATTTTAGAAATAACCTAAAATATGCAGCATTAGGAAAATGGTTAAGTAAATGTATGTAATACAACACCAATAAAAATTATATTAATAAACATGTTTTTATGACGTGGAAAAGTAGAAAAAAGCAAGATAATACATGTAATATGTATCTAATGCATAGAGAGGGCTCAACTACATCAAAATGAATAGAGAAAAGACTAAAAGAACACTGGCTACAAACACTAACAGTGATTGACTCTGAATGACAAAATTTTGTATGACCTTTTTCCTGCTTCTTTATATATTTCTAGACATTCTAAAGCTTCTACAACAAATATAATACGTTTACATGGGGTAGGGAGAATAAACAAAAGGATATATAAAAATTTCTTTCTGCCCTGGCCAGGTGGCTCAGGTGGAGCATCATACCATACACCAAAAGGCTGAGGATTCAATCCCGGGTCAAGGAACATACCTAGGTTGTGGGTTTGATCCCCAGTCAGGTCATGTATGGGAGGCAACCAACTGATACCTGTCTGTCTCTCTCTGCTCCACCTTCCTCTCTCTCTAAAAACCAATAAATATATCCTTAAGGGAGGATTTAAAAAAAAAAATTAACTCCTTCCCTCCTACTGTAATGATTTAACTCTCTTCTAAACACATAAGTACGTAACAAAGCAAGCAAAAGATCCAAAATAAAGCACCTAGAGAATAAGTTTCCCACATGGACAATCAATGCTCACCTTTAGAATCATGTTCTTTATTTCTGAAATGGAATTTTGCTTGCTTTTTTCGTGGAGGAGAGAGGTCTGAATCATATTCATATTTGCTGTTGTTCGAGACTGAAAGATGAGAGTGTCCTGGCCCCTTCCAATGTGGAGAACTTTTGCTAGAGGCTTCTTCTGGGACTTTACTGCTTTTGGTTCTAGGCAGTGAATGAGAAACACCAGGTGCCAAATCAGGGGATTCATGATAGGGCCTCTTGAGCTGCGATGAATCCAAGGAATGAAGAGTCCTTTTTGGTTGAGAAGTATCAGGGGAGCTGTTACGGGCCCTTCTATGGGGACAAATATCTGAGGAACTGTGATGGGCCCTCTTAGGAGATATACCTGAAGGACAATAATGTTTCCTGAGAGGAGAAGGATCCGGTGAATCATGATGAGGCCTCCTAGGAGAAGAAGGATCCGGGGTGTCATGACGGACCCTCCTAGGAGGAGAAGGGTCTGGGGTGTTGTGATGGACCCTCCTAGGAGGAGAAGGGTCCGGGGTGCCATGGCAGATCCTCCTAGGAGCAGATGAATCCAGGCAGTCATGACGGAAATGTCTGTGTGAAGGTAGATCCTCACTGTGATCTAAACACAAACAGCAGAGTCAGATTTCTACAGATGCTATCACCATCAGTATTCAAAGTTTCAAAACATGCCCCAGCAGCATACATCTCAAAATTACTCGGAAAGCCCAAAACTACTCTGCACAGCTCCTTTGCTTAGGGGCAGCAAATCAGCAGCCAGGAACACCTTAAAAATAATCTCACTTATTTGCCTAACAAGTCTTAAATTTGCAAAGCATTTTAAATACATTTCTCATATTATATCCTGTAAGGCAAGCAGGGCAGGCATCTTGTTTTACAATTGTGAAAATAGAGGCTCCAAGGATCTGATGGCTCTCACCCAAGATGAAGAGACAGACTAGAACCCCAGTCTTCTAACTCTCAACCCAATGTTCTTCCAAAAATCTTATTTGTGCAGAGTTCCCAGTCAGAAGTTTCTACTGAAATTTAGCCTACTTTATAGTTCATACTCACTCTTCTTTAAAAAGACATGTTAACTAAACCAGTGACACATCAAAATGAATGCTGTCAACTATTTAATCCATACCAATGTACTCCTCATTAAAGGGAGAGAGATCACCAGAAAAAAAGGATCACCATTTACTGATCCCTTACTACATGCTAATGTTTTATACAGATTACCTCATTCCATTCTCACAAGCCTAGGAGATAAATACTACTCCATTTTATAGATAATAAAGTTGACACAAAGAAAGATTAAGTAATTTGCCAGTCATACCACTAATATGTGGTAGAGTAAATATCCAAATCCAGATCCATTGGACTCAAGTCTGTCTGCACTCTTTAAAAATATGTAGTTGAACATTCTAAGAAGAGAGGCCAGGATAGCAGAAGCAGAGTATAGGAGGGGAAAAGTTGGAAATTGAGGTCATAGGCAATAGGATGCCAAATTGTGTAGGGACTTAAGGCACTGGGAGGACTTAGTGAGAGAGGAAGTCATTGGAAGGTTTTGAGCAAAGAAGTGAGATGATAGGACTTTTTTTAAAATTTTTATTTTATTGATTATGCCATTACAGTTGTTCTATTCCCCCCCTTTATTACCCTCCACCCTGCACCCCCCCACCTCTACCATTCCCCCCCTTTAGTTTATGACCACGTGTCTCAAGTTCTTTGGATTCTATATTTCCCATACTATTCTTACCCTCCCCCTATCTATTTTCTTTTTTTTTAATTGATTATGCTGTTACAGTTGTTCTATTCCCCCCTTCATTCCCCTCCAACCTACCCCACCATCCCCACCATTACCCCCCTTTAGTTTATGACCATGTGTCTCAGATTTTATATTTCCCATGCTATTCTTGCCCCCCCCAATCTATTTTCTATCTACTGTCTATGCTACTTATTTTCTGTACCTTCTCCCCCCATCTCCTCCTCCCACTCCCCTGTTGATACCCTCCTTGAGATCTTCATTTCTATTTTCCACTCCTGATCTAGCTGTCCTTTTAGTTTGCTTTTGTTTTAGGGGTGGTTGTTAATAACTGTGAGTTTGTTGTCCTTTCACTGTTCATGTTTCTTTAACTTCTTTTTCTTAGATAAGTCCCTTTAACATTTCATATAATAAGGGCTTGGTGATGATGAACTCCTTGAATTTGACCTTATCTGAGAAGCACTTTATCTGTCCTTCCATTCTAAATGAAAGTTTTGCTGGATAGAGCAATCTTGGTTGTAGGTCTTTGGATTTCATGACTTGGAATACCTCTTTCCAGCCCCTTCTTGCCTGTAAGGTCTCTTTTGAGAAATCTGCTGACAGTCTGATGGGGACCCTTTTGTCGGTGACTGTCCCCTTAGCTCTTGCTGCTTCTAGGATTCTCTCCTTCATTTTAATTTTGGCTAATGTAATTATGATGTGCCTTGGTGTGTTCCTTCTTGGGTCCAACTTCTTTGGGACTCTCTGAGCTTCCTGGACTTCCTGGAAGTCTATTTCCTTTGCCAGACTGGGGAAATTCTCCTTTATTATTTGTTCAAATAAGTTTTCCACTGGTGGCTGTGCCTTTCCCCCTTCTGGTACCCCTATAATTCGGATGTTGGAGCGTTTCAAGATGTCCCAGAGGTTCCTAAGGCTCTCCTCATTTCTTTGAATTCTTGCTTCCTGACTCTTTTCTGTTTGGCCATTATTTGCTTTCTTCTGGTCCACTCCATTGATTTGAGTCCCAGTTTCCTTTCCATTGCTATTGGTGTCCTGTGCAATTCCATTCATTTCAATTAGTTTCGCTTTCATATATTTGTCTAATTTGTGGCTATAATCAACCAGTTCTGTGAGGATCCTGATGACCAGTGTTTTAAACTGTGCATCTGAGAGTTTTGCTATTTCTTCATCACTTAGATCTATGGGCTCTGGGGCTTTGAGAACTTGCGACATTTTTGGTCTGTTCTGGCCCTTCAAGTGTGAGAAGCAGTGCCTTGGACTCCCAGGTCGCTGGGCTGTGATGCTGTATGTGGGGGCGTGGTCAGAGCCGGGAAATGGCAGCGCCCTCTACTGCCGCTTGCCACGGGGACTGCCGGGCCCCCGTCCAACCGCCCACTCCCTCGCCTCTCCGCTCACGCACAAATGGGCGACCACAGTCAACACGCAGCACCGCTTCCCCGCTGTCTCCTTCGCGGTTGCTCGCCTGGTGGCTCACTCGGTCGCTCACTAGGTCCAACCCTGCGCCTGGATTCCACGCGTCTGGATTCCGCGCCTGTCCGTCTGACCAAGTCCTCCTGTGCAACCCCTCACCAGCCGCTGGTTTCACCCCTTACCGGTCAGGCTGAAGAATTTGTTGTTAACGGACTTCCGAAAAGTTCAATTTTCCGTGTTCGGGCTGTGTTTTCTGTTGCTAATATTTAGTTGTCTCTAAACTTGGTTGTGTGAGAAGGCACGGCACATCCACCTATGCCTCCATCTTGGTGGAAGTCTCCCCCTATCTATTTTCTACCTACCATCTATGCTACTTATTTTCTGTACCTTCTCCCCTCTTCTCCTCCCACTCCCCTGTTGCTAACCCCCCATAAGATCTTCATTTCTATGGTTCTGCTCCCGATCTAGCTGTCCTCTTAGTTTGCTTTTGTTTTAGATGTGGTTGTTAATAACTGTGAGTTTGCTGTCCTTTCACTGTCCATATTTTTTATCTTCTTTTTCTTAGATAAGTCCCTTTAACATTTCATATAATAAGGGCTTGGTAATGATGAACTCCTTGAATTTGACCTTATCTGAGAAGCACTTTATCTGTCCTTCCATTCTAAATAAAAGTTTTGCTGGATAGAGCAATGTTGGTTGTAGGCCTTTGGATTTCATGACTTGGAATACCTCTTTCCAGCCCCTTCTTGCCTGGAAGGTCTCTTTTGAGAAATCTGCTGACAGTCTGATGGGGACTCCTTTGTAGATGACTGTCCCCTTAGCTCTTGCTGCTTCCAGGATTCTCTCCTTCATTTTAATTTTGGCTAATATAATGATGATGTGCCTTGGTGTGTTTCTTCTTGGGTCCAACTTCTTTGGGACTCTCTGAGCTTCCTGGATTTCCTGGAAGTCTATTACCTTTGCCAGTTTGAGGAAATTCTCCTTTATTATTTGTTCAAATAAGTTTTCCACTGGTGGCTGTTTCTTTCCCCCTTCTGGTACCCCTATGATTCGGATGTTGGAGCGTTTAAAGATGTCCTGGAGGTTCCTAAGTCTCTCCTCATTTTTTTGAATTCTTGTTTCTTCATATTTTCCCATTTGGTCATTTTTTCCTTCCTTCTGGTTCACTCCCTTGATTTGAGTCCCAGTTTCCTTTTCATCACTATTCGTTTCCTGTGCAATTCCCTTCATTTCAATTAGTTTAATATGTTCCTCTAATTTGTGACTAAAATCAAACAGTTCTGTGAGCATCCTGATCACCAGTGTTTTGAACTGTGCATCTGAAAGTTTTGCTATTTCTTTCTCGCTTAGAGTTATGGGCTCTGGGGCTTTGAGATCTTGTTAAGCCATTTTTGATCTGTTCACGCCCATTAAGTATGAGGACTGGAGCCTTAGGAGCGGGGGGGGGCCTCCAGGGCAGGGTCGCTGGGTTGTGACCCTGTATGTGGAGGTGGGGTCAGATTGAGGATATGGCGGCCCTCTCTGCTGCCTCCCGTCGCTGGGACCCACTCGTCCCATCTCACTGCCCACTCCCTCACCGGTCTATCTGCGCAGGAATGCGCCACCACATTCAACCCATGGCCCTTCGCCCTCACCGGATCCGCCAGTTGCTCACTGGGTTGCTCACTGGGTCGGCACTTTGCACCCCCACGCCTGGGATCCGCGCACCTGAGTCCGTCTGACCGAGTTTTCCTGTGCAACCCCGCTCCGCCAGCTGCTGGTTTTGCCCCTCTTACCAGTCAGGGTGAAGCATTCTTTGTTATCGGACTTCTGAAAAGTTTATTTTTCTGTGTTCTGGCTGTGTTTTCTGTTGCTAATATTTTGTTGTCTCCAAACTTGGTTGTGTGAGAAAGCACGGTGTCTCCACCTATGCCTCCATCTTGGTGGAAGTCCCCGAAATGATATGACTTTTAAAGAATCACTCTGAGTTCCAGCCAGGATGGAGGCAGAAGTAGAAACCCTTCGTTTCCTTGAACAACCAAAAGAAGGATAATAACCAATCTAAAAACAATAAACAACCAGAAAATCAAACTGCACGGAACTCCAACAACCAAGGAATTAAAGAAACATTCAACCAGACCAGTAGGAACAAGATAGGCAGCCAGGCAGTGTCAGACTGCATAGGCAGGGCTGGCTGAGTGGTCCCATGGTGGACTGCATGAGCAAGGCAAGGCTGGGTGAACAGGAAACTAAGATTCAAAGCTAGCTATAAACTACAGCGAAGATTGCCATGGCAGGAAAAACTCCCAGTCTCACACAAGAGTTCATTGGAAAGTGGGTCTAGAGCTGAGTAAGTGAGCCGCATTGTTCTCTCTCTAACCACTCCTCCACAGACAGCACCACCAAGCAGCAAAGAGGGTTTCCCCGCTCTGGTGAATACCTAAGGCCCTGTCCCCTTACAACACAACAAGTGCACCAAGACAAAGAAATATGGCCAAAATGAAAGAAGAGATCAAAACTCCGGAAAAAGAACTAAGTGACAAGGAGATCACCAACCTATCTGATGCAGAGTTCTAAACACTGGTAATCAGGATGCTCACAGAACTGACTGAGCTCAGCCGCAATGAAGGAAGAAATGAAAGCTACAGAAAGTGAAATAAAGCAAAATGTTCAGGGAACCAACTCAAATCAACCAGAAGGAAACCGGGACTCAATTAACATTTTTGAACAAAAAGAAGAAATAAACATCCAACCAGAACAGAATGAAGAAACAAGAATTCAAAGAAATAAGAAGAGACTTAGGAACCTCTGGGACAACTTTAAACGTTCTAATATACAAATTAGGGGTGCCAGAAGGAGATGAACAAGAAAAAGACGTTGAAAACTCATTTAAACAAATAATGATGGAACACTTCCCCAATCTGGCAAAGGAAATAGACTTCCTGGAAGTCCAAGAATCTTAGAGAGTCCCAAAGAAATTGGACCCAAGGAAGCACACACCAAGGCACATCATCTTTAAGATACCCAAGATCAAAGATAAAGAGAGAATCTTACAAGCAGCAAGAGGAAAGGTGACAGTTACAAACAAAGGAGTTCCCATCAGACTGTCAGCTGATTTCTAGAAAGAAACCTTACAGGCAAGAAGGGGCTAGAAAGAACTATTTGAAGTCATGAAAGGCAAGGACCTACATCCATGATTACTCTACCCAGCAAAGCTATCATTTAGAACTCAAGGGCAGATAAAGTGCTTCCCTGATAAGGTCAAGTTAAAGTAGTTCATCATTACCAAGCCCTTATTATAAGAAACGTTAAAGGGACTTATCTAAGAAATTGAAAATCAAAACTATGAACAGTAAAATGATAACTAACTCACAACTATCAACAACTGACCCTAAAAAAAAAAAAACCAATGAAAACAAAAACTAAGCAAACAACTAGAACAGGAACAGAATCAGAGAAATGGACATCACATGGAGGGTTTTCAGTGGGGAAGGGGAGGGGAAGAATGGCGGGGAGGAAGGTACAGGGAATAGGAAACATAATTGGTAGGGATAAAATAGATGAGAAGTTAAGAATGTTATAGGAAACAGAGAATTCAAAGAACTTATATGTACAACCCATGGACAGGAACTAAGAGGGCAGGGAATGCTGGAGGGTTGGGGGGTGCAGGGCAGAGTGCGGAAAAACAGGGAAAACTGTTATAGCATAATCAATAAAATATACTTTTTAAAAAAGACTTTATTTATTTATTTTTAGACCAAGGAGGAAGGGAGAGAGAAAGGGAGGGAGAGAAACATAAGTTGTGCAACTGCTTCTCGAGCTCTGCCCACTGGGGGCCTAGCCCAAAACCCAGACATGTGCCCTAACTCGGAATGGAACCAGTGACCCTTTGGTTCACAGGCCAGTGCTCAATCCACTGAACTACACCAGCCAGGGCCCAATAAAATATACCTATAAAAAAATAATCACTTTAGCTTCTATTTTGACAATAGATGGTAGGGGAGCAAAAGAAGGGTGACTTAGGAGGCTGCTGCAGTCCTCCAAATGAGAGACAGTGGGGTGGCTAGGGGGAAGTGCAAGAAGGAAATGAGGTATGTAAATACATTCACATGAGATGGTACACAGGATTTGATGAAGTAATTGATGTAGGGTGTTAGAAAAGAGAGTTAGGGAGATTCCAAGATTTTGGCCTGAGCCATTTAAAGAATGGAGTTGCCATTTACTAAAATGGGAAAGACTATAAACAATGGGAAGAGATAAATTTAATTTTGGAGATGTCAAGTTTGAAATGCCTATTAAATTAACATATGGTATATGAGTCTGGAATTCAGAATAAAGTGCCAAGCTGGATATGTAAATTTGGGAGACACCAGCATGTAAAGAGTATTTAATGCCACGAGATCATCTAGATATTCAGGGTAATCAGAAATTTTTTTAAAGTTATATAAGATTCCCTGGAACACATGAACATTTAGGAATTGAAATGCTAATGAAACCAGAGACAGAAAGAGCAACCACTGAAATAAGAGGAAACCATGAAAGAAAATCAGGAAGAGCAACCAAGTCAATTGACAAGGAGCTACAAGTGACCACTGGCTAAAACACTGAAGTAGTGAGAATAAAAGCTTGATTGGGTTCAAAAAAGAATGGTAAGATCAGAAATGGAGAGAGGGAGGATAGATAATTTGGAGAAGGAATTTGGTATTAAGAGTAGGGTGCCATTAAAGTGAAGTAATACTTCAGGGTCATGAGAGTAATTTTTAAATTATTTCATCCATAAATACAGTATTTCTGTAAGTTAACATTCTTTTTTATAAATGTAACCTCAATACCACTATCTCACCTAAAATATTAACAATAATTCTAAAAAACTAACAATAAATCATCATCTCTCCTACCCTGTCAACCTTCAGATTTCCCTAATTGTCTATTTCTGCTACCAGATTTACTGGGACATTATAATTCAAATACCATACAATTCACTCATTTAAAGTATGCAACTTAAAAAAAGGTATGCAACTTAATTAATTTCTAGCATCATCAAAAACAATGTAGTTGAGCAAACAATTTGAAACTTTCAATTGTCAAAAGCATAGGAGAAAGATTGTTTATAGCAACTCAGAACATTTCCAAAATCTAGTTTCTCCTCTCCATCTGTTAACTTATGATTGAGAGCTATGGCCCAAATACAAATAAAAGCCAGGTAGGACCCAATGAATACTTGTTAAATGTATGAATTAAGCCTATTTAAATTCCTTCACTTTGGAGAATAGGCCTAAAATAATTAGAATCCACCCCTCAGAGAAAAGTACTTACACCTGTAAGAGATCTGACAATAAATCTAATCCATGAGGTTGATAAATTCCATGTCATTTATTAAAAAGAAAGTAAGGGCCAAAGATCAGTAAGGATATTTCCAGCAACAAATAAGGATGGAGCAGTGAGAATGAGGCAAAACAAAAAGAATTATTTGTGTGTGTGTTTATGTGTATGTCACTTCCTAGACCTACAGAGATAGAGACCAAAAGACTGTCTCTGAAAAAAGGATTGTGGAAAAAACTGAAACACTACTACAGGATAAGGCAGGAAATAATGATTAAAACAGTCAAACCACTATGTTGTACACCTAAAACTAATATAACATTGAATTTCAACTGTAATCGAAAAGTTTTTAAAACTATAAAGAGTAAAACAGGATTCAAATGAAAGAATACTAGTAAAGTTTTCATTCACAAAACAAAATAATGCACTAAACATTAACTGAGAAAATGGTGATCACCAATCTACAGTCAATTGTCACTTTTGCTGTGCATTTTTTTCAAATCAGAGTTGCAGGATAATTAACCAGAAGGCACAGAGTGTAAGACAGTGTGAAAAACAAATTAGCATCAAGGGCAAACTGGAGTTAAACAACAATCAAGTAACAAGATCCTCATTTATGAAGGTATGAACACAAGGGATAAAAACTCAGCACACTTCCACTGGCCACCTTGAATAACTGCTGCATACAGGGCTGTGACTCACTGGGATTATTTATTAGTCTGTGTCCTGCAGTAAACAGGACTACCTACTACTAAGTTGCTGAAAAAGGGGAAATGACATCCAGGTCTCAAGTAATGATTTACCAAGGAGCAGCAGGCTACAAGAATCAAATACCTTTTAGCAATTCAACAAACATTTATCGGTGCACCTCCCTATGCTAGGCTGGAAAAATAGCAAGGTAAATTAGACTTGGTCTCATCTCTACTCAGTCATGACAGACAAATGACCTTTGTCCAACTCAAAAACTCAAACATTTTGTTAAATACGGAATTAAACTATTGGCCCACAGAGATAAGGTAGAATGGGCACATGGAGGATAATGCCCTGTAAAATACCAATATTTAAGGGAAAAACGAATAAAGATTTATTGACACAAAGGACAGAAAACATTGGTCCTTGACCCATACATGAGTTGCTTCATTCAGAGAGAGGACAGAAGTTACTCAAGTCTTCAAACTCTGCTCTTCAGATGCTTGTAAACTCCAGAGTCTTGCCTGTATACTAAGTACTGGGCCAGAGAAGAATGGGTGCTGAAAGGTTCCCAAATGATTCACTTTCTGACCTCAGTAACCCTAATACCAAAATATAAGAAAAAGTGGGATACCTGGTCTTTCAGTTCCCATGTCTTACTACCTCTGAAGGTAGTAAGTTTCTAATTCTATTTCATGCTATATTTTTCAGGATCAATGACAAATTAAAATAAACTATGCATTCCTCAAAAAAAATGTAGAAAAGAAAAAAAAGGCTTCCCCTATAAATGGGAAATTTAGATTTATCTACTGTTGGAACTCACCTCCCAGAAGCTTCCATTTGGCACTGGAACGAAAGGTTTCCATCTGCTTTACCTCTTCTGGTCTCTCATCCACAAATTCAGCCACCTGTGGCAGTGAGGACATTAGGTTGAGGAAACCCACAGGATACAGCCGAGGAGTACTGCTGTCTTGAGAACCTTAAGTTATAACCACTCCCACTCCTAATACACATGGCACATACAGACCTGAAACAGCCATGAAGAGAGATTTAGTGGTTCTCAGTTAATGTTTGCTCCAAAAACATCTGATTGTCACTGGATGGTTTAATTCTAGATCTTTCTCTGACTAATCAATTCCCCTCCAAAGCTTATTTTCATTCATTACAAGCCTTTTTATCAACTTGCCAGAGACATAACTGCCACCTGTAAGATAAAAGCTAAATTCGCTTTACTGTTTTATTTTTATTATATGCATTCAAATTGAAAACACAAGCAGGCTCCTTGTCATGCCTATCACTCATCAAGGGCTTTGGGTTCCTTATAAAACTTTTCTTGTTATAAGTAGTCACAATGATAGCTATTCTTGAACCCAACCAAAAGAAGTCATGAAGACATACAAAGAATCATAGAATCTTCAAGAGAGAAAACTATGCTTCATATCATCCAAACTCCCAAACAAATGTGGAATCTTCTTTATAGTATCCTTGATTAATGATTACTTACCCAGTCCCTCCCTGTCAAGGAATCAATTCACTAACAGGGAACTCATTACATTAAAATGCAGTCCACTGCATTTTAGGGACAGTGCTAGGAAGTTCTTAGTTTTATTGGACCAGTATCTACCTTCCTACAACTTCTTCCCATTGACTACAGTTCTGACCACTGACAACTGGTCCTCCTATAAAAGACTTTCAAAAAGGGCTGGCATAATAAATTCTAGTTACAGAGTAGCAACTATGTGCAAGGCAATGTTCTGTACTTTACTATCACACTTAATCCTCACAATAGCCCTGCAAAGAAAGGTCCCACACTACTAAAGGGCAACTATGACTCAGATAAATTAACTTCCTCAATGTCATAAAGTAGCAAGTGGCAGAACTGGAATTCAAACCCAAGACATAAAACCTCTCTACTTGTCTTCTCCCAAGAGCCTACCATCATTCCTCATATAACCTAGTTTTCACACCTCTCCACACACATTAAAAGCACAGGCTTTCAAGAAAGATGAACTGAGATCCAAATCCCCAGCTGTCAGTTTAGTATTTGTGTAACCTTTGGCAAGTTATTTTCTCTAAGCCTCAATTTCCTCATTTGTAAAAGTAGGTTTCAAAGAACTGCTAGCAGGACTCCATGAGATAGTTCATGTGAGCTTAGCAGTACTTGTGCGTGGTGAATGCTCAATAAATCATACCTATTATTCTTTGCTGCTACTGCTATTGTGGTTGTCCCAGTTATTTTGCCATTATTACAGCAAAATTACACCACCATCACTGGTGGTGATGGTTTTGCAGTAATAAAAATGCATTCAATGACCAAGATCTGTTTTAACCAGTTTAGAGGGCAGCAGGGCTAAAGCCTCCCTATTTTTGTTTTGGAGCAAGCATAGGAGCGAAAGATAGTATAAAGGAAGATTAATAGAGGACCACATAAAAATTTTAATTTTTAAATGTCAAGACTATTATAAATGAAAAGGTAAAGATAAAATATACCTATAAAACAGATAATATATACTTATTATGTAAATATCAAATAAAACCATGAAAAAAATTAAAATCCCAATTTTCTAAAAATGGACAAAATACCAAGAAATTCATCGAATAGAAAGAAATGCCCAATAAACATATGAAAAATTACACACTTCACTATTTTTCAAAGAAACTGGATACCATTGTTCACCTGCCAAGCTGGCACAAGTTCACCATGGGTTTTGTTGTTGTTAATACTATGTTCAAGTATTGACGAAGAAATGGAATAACTGGCATTCTCACACTAGTTTTCACACTCAGGTAGTACCAGAACTGTAAATTGGTACCACCTTTTGGAGAGCAATATGGGACTGTGTTGGGAACCACCCTGCTTGGTTTTAGAACCTGTAACCCTGCCCCCCATATGGCTAAGGCTGAGTGAGCGACCTTCAGACTATAAGCCACTAAGGAGACAAAGCTTATTTCTCTAGCAGGGGCACCACCTCTGCCTCTTTTACTTCACACTGCCTGGCCCCCAATGCTTGATCCATCAGCCAATGACGGGTAAGATTCCTCAAGGGAGGGACGACCTAAGATAGGGATGATCATGGGGGAGCCCCCAAGGAAAAATTTAGGGGGCTATAGCAAAAGGGAGTGATGGACCCTTTCCCCTCGGCTTTGACATAGCCTGAGTCCTCATTCTGTCTGCAAGAAGTCTCCTAATCTCTTGGCTGCCTTACTTCCCCTGCCTGACTTAAGCTTGAAATAGTAACAGAGGGTGGTGCAGCCCTGTGCTGGAAAGGGCTGGTTCCCCGGGTGATCAGGCCTAAGAAGAATATATAAAATCCTGTGAAACCTGCTTTGCTAAGAATGCTCTCAATTAAATGATAAGGGTCCAAGCAGGAAACGAGTTTGTTTCCCAGTTTTGTAGCCCTTTAGCTAACAGACCCTGACTCAGAAAAAGCCCTAATAGTTCTTTCTATGCTATCTATTGTTTGATCCTTACTGCCTGACAATGATTAATGAACTTTACCTGTATTCCTGTGCAAACTGAAAGCCAATAAAAGCCTGTCGAGGCAAGGGTTGGCGCACTCTCCTCTTGAGAGAATAGCCAGGCCACTCTGAGGTGCTCTCCCCTTGAGAGTAATCGTGCTGTCCCTTTTCCTCCACAGGACTCGGTAGTCTGTGTGAATTTGTCTTGTTTCTCATCCATAACGCCTCGGACACTGTGGGCAGGAGTCCACATCAGGACTGTAGCTCAAAAAGACCATAATTTCACTTCACGGGAATAAATAATGGATCCCTACAATGATTTATGTATGTTTATCAAAGCATTTTGATTTTTTCTTTTTCAGTATATTTTACTGATTATGCTATTATAGTTACCCCATTTTTTTCTCCCCTTTATTCCCCTTTGGCCTGCATCCCTCTCCCACCAGCATACCCCCACCCCTTAGTACATGTCCATGGGTCATACATATAAATTCTTTGGACTCTCCATTTCCTGTACTAATCTTAATTTCCCCCTATTTTCAAACTTCCAGTTATGCTTATCCCATGTACCTTTTTCCCATTCTCTCCCCACTGATAACCTTCCATGTGATGTCCGTTTCTCTAATTCTGTTTCTGTTCTAGTTCTTTGATTAGTTTGTTTTTGCTTTTTTTAGGTTCAGTTGTTGATAGTTGTGAGTTAGTTGTCATTTTACTGTTCATAGTTTTGATCTTCAATTTCTTAGATAAGTCCCTTTAACACTTCATATAATAAGGGCTTGGTGATGATGAACTCCTTTAACTTGACCTTATCAGGGAAGCACTTTATCTGCCCTTCCATTCTAAATGAAAGCTTTGCTGCATAGAATAATCTTGGATGTAGGTCCTTGACTTTCATGACTTGGAATACTTCTTTCCAGCCTCTTCTTGCCTATAAAGATTCTTTTGAGAAATCAACTGGTAAGTCTTATGGGAACTCCTTTGTAGGTAACTTGTCTCCTGTCCTCTTGCTCCTTTTAAGATTCTCTCCTTATCTTCAATTTTGGGTAAGGTAATGTAATGATGATGTGCCTTGGTGTGTACTTCCTTGGGTCCAACTTCTATGGGACTCTCTGAGCTCCCAAGGAGACACTGAGAGTCCCAAATAGACTTCCTGGAAGTCTATTTCCTTTGCCAGATTGGGAAAAGTTCTCCTTCATTTTCTTGCTCTTCCTCTTCTCCTTCTGGCACCCGTGATTCGGATGTTGGAATGTTTAAAGTTGTCTCAGAGATTCCTAAGCCTGTCCTCTTCTTTTGAATTCTTGTTTCTTGATTCTGTTCTGGTTGAAAGTTTCTTTCTTTCTTCTGCTACAGATCGCTGATTTTAGTCCTGGTTTCCTTCCCTTCCCTGTTGGTTCCCTGTACATTTTCCTTTATTTCACTTTGCATAGCCTTCACTTCTTCCTCTATTTTGTGACCATACTCAACCATTTCTGTGATAATCCCAATTACCAGTGTTTTGAACTCTGCATCTGATAGGTTAGCTACTTCTTCATTGCTTACTTATTTTACTCTTCTGTTTTAAGTTTTGATCTGTTCTTTCATTTGGGCCATATTTTTTTGGCATACCTGTTACACTGTAAGGGGCAGAGCCTTAGCTATTCACCAGGGTGGGGCAACCCACGTCACCATCCTGTGGTTCTGTATGTAGGGGAGGGGTCAGAGAGGGAACAATGCCACTTGCTCAGCTCTTGCCCCACTCCCAATCACTTCCCAGACCACCCATAGCAAATTGGACCCTTCTGGTGCTGATTCCTAGGGTGGTGCATTTATATACATTCTAGGACCCTGTGGGTCTCTCCAACAAACTCTCCTGTAAGGCTGGGAGTTTCTCCCACCACCACAATCTCTATAGGTTTTTACAGCCGGAGGTTTTAAGGCTTTCCTTTCCCATGCTGGAACCCTGGGTTTCATGGTCTGTCTCACTTCCCAGTTGTTCCTCCCAGTTTATCTGCACACAAATGTGGGACTGCCAGCCACCGCCTCACCAGTCCACCCAGTCTTCTAGCTGCTGCCGTGCCACATGTCCTCTCTACACCAGCTGCCTGTCTTCACCCCTCCTACTGGTCTGGATGAATGTTTTTTCTTTAACTCCTTAGTTGTCGGACTTCCATACAGTTCAATTATCTGGCAGTTCTGGTTATATATATATATTTTTTTAATTAGTTGTTGCCCTTCCTTTGGTTGTGCAAGGAGGCAAAGTGTATCTACCTACACCTCCGCCTTGGCTGGAAATCACATTTTCATGTTTTCAGAGAGAAAACAATCCAGCAACAAAACATTAATTTTTAATTAATATGTATAAGGAGCTACTATACAATCATGAAAAATCACATTCTCAAAAAGAATATTGTAGTCTTACAAAAGTATTCACAGTATATTACTAAGTGAAAGAGCAGGTTCGAAAACTATGTATACAGTATGATCCCAATAATATTTGAAAAAATAAATAAAAGTATGCATAATCTATGCATTAAAGACATATCCATCCCAACATTAGGAGTTATTACCTCTGGATAATCACAGTATAAGTGATTTTTATACTCTTTTTAAAACTTTAAAGTTTCTTAAAATTCCCAAGTACTCTATAATAAATATATATTGCTTTCATAAAATAATTAAAACAAATGTTAACATTAATTAGGTTTAAGTGATTCTGACTGAAACTGATTCCTTATGATCAATCAGTATTTCCTATCTAATTACTAACAAACTATCTTTTAAATAATGAAGTGTAAAATATGCTGGGGACAAACATATACTCATCTGGAATTCATCTTTACAACTTTACCACAACACAGCCTATTAACAGCTCTCCTTTTCACTTGTTTCTCAGTTATTCTCAGCAAAGGTTCCATCAGTATACCAGTGCTAGATTATTTGCCTACACTTTTGCCTACTTGGCTCCTATCCTTCAAAACTCATGTCAGATACTGACATCCTTCACAGAATTTACCAATGAAATAAAAGATATGCTACTTTCCCTATGCTGTAATAGTACTTGATACATAATATAGCTCCAATATTTATCATATTGCTGAAATAATTTGAAACTCAGTCTGCCATTTTAGGGTACAACCTCTAGAGTACAGATACTATGTTCTATTACTCTACATATCTCTATCACTTAGACAAGAGTATACAAATTTTAAAGTTTAGTTGAATCAATGAATAAAAGAAACAAAGAAAAAGTTTCTTATAATTGAACCTGATCCTTGTTTTTAAAATAGCTTCCAACAAACTGAACCTATCTAATTCTAATCACAGCTCCATCACTGATGTTGAGCCTCTATTAGTTCCCTTTTCTATTTGGATGGGCCCCTCCATAAACAAAGAAGACAGTGTATAGGCATCTCAAAGAAGACTATTTTAAAAGAACTCTTTAATAGTATTCTGTGCCCTGAACTCACCCTCTTACAAATCTACCCTGCACTGGGAGTCGAGATTGAAAGACTTGAATTTCAAAGTCCTCACAGACTCAAAGATACATACCACAGGCAAATCTCCATCATCTTCCTCTTCCTCTTTTTCTGGCTTACTGGTGGAGATAGATGTCCAGCTCACATCATCATCCACAATGCGCATTCTGAATGTGAAAAAACAGATTAAAAAGGATTAACATTCTTATTATTTTTAAGATTTTATTTATTTTTAGAGAGGGAGAATACAGGCAAAAAGAGAGGGAGAGAAACATTGATGTGTGACAGAGACATCAATCAGCTATCTCTCATACAACCCCAACCAGGGAGCTGGCCCACAACTCAGGCATGTGCCCTGACTGGGAGGGGAATCTGTGACCTTTCAGTTCGCAGCATGGTGCTCAATCCACTGAGCCACACCAGCCAGGGCAACATTCTTAAATAATAGCCTATGAACATTTATCTACTGGCTTTAGGATAAAGCTCAAAATGCTACAAGATCCTGCATGTTCTACCACGTCTGTTTTCACATACTCAGTTCCTTCCCCCTGCCTAAACTATTCTTCTCATTCTCTACTGGGAAACTCTTACTCATTCTTAATATCCTAGCATACACTTATATTTAACTTTCATGACCATATCTTCCTAACTACTCTTCCTTAACTCCCCCATCTAAGAACCCCTCTTGCACATTCTTGGAATACTTTAGTTGCATATACCACAAAGGACATAAATCAATTAGTTGCCTAATTAGTTGTTTAAAGCTTGTCTCTTCAGTAAACTATACACTCCATGAGAATAGGAACTATGACTTTCTCATGCAGAATGGTATTCTCCGCACCCTGCAGTAACTGGCATAAGAAGTACTGAATAAATGTTTGTTACATAAACTATGAATGATTGCAAATAACAATAACTGCCATGATGTGAACAGTTATTATCTGAAAAATGAAGATCACTTTAGACATCTCTAATCACAACCACCACCATTTGATATAAACGACATCACTATTACTCTCTCTTTAAAGAAAACTAAAGTTTAGACAGATAAAATATCTTGCCCACATGGATCATAAAGTGGCACAGCTGGGACTCAAACTCTGATCAGTGTTGCTCCAAAGCTCAAGATATTTCCACTATGTGGCCCTTATTCCCAAGAATCTAAACAAGTCAGAGAGGCAGGAAGACAGAGGGCAAGGATAAGGCAAGAACCAAACGAGGAAGAAAAATGGATCACCTCTGTGGACATATTTGACTTTACTGGGTTTATCAATTTCTGAGGGCAAACAGAGTGGCTTAAAACAACAGAAATGTCTCTCATTGCTCTGGAGGCTTGAAGTCTGAAATCACAAGGTATCTGCAAGGCAACTGTCCACTGGGCTGTAAAGTACAGGATTTCCTTAATTCTTCCGTCTGTCAACCCTAGGCATACCTTGGTTAATTGCTGTCAGTCTATCCCAGCCTCCACCTTCACATGGTTGTTTTCCCTCTGCCAGTTTCTGTATCCAGATTTTTCTCTTCTTAAAAGGACGCCAGTCATATTGGGTTCAGTCTCCATCCTAATCCACTATGCCCTAACACTCCAAAGCTTAAATAATTCATGTCTAAAATACCTAGAATAATGCCTGGCATATGACAAGAACTGTCTAAATGTTAGTTACTGTCGGTAGTAGCAGTACTGAGTTAACAGCAAGTGAGTATAGGCTTCTGACTCAGGACCACAGTCCTTGGGACTGGAGGGTCGGAGCAGGTTCTGGGTCCTAAATACCCAGACACAGAGGCTTTGAATTAGCTCCACCCTTATTCTTGGGGCACGATATTCATTCTCTGCGGGAGCGAACTAAAGACTGTAAAGGCGAGAAACGAATAATGCAGGTCACAGCCTGGCTTGAACCGAAGAGAATGCCCGGAGGCGCGAGCGAGGTCTGCGCGAGCGAGGTCTGGGCGAGCTCCGGGCTCCGGCAGGCTCCAACGAGCCCGCAGCAGAGCGAGGCCGCACCGTGCGTAGGAGGAAGAGCCGGGGGTCGAGGGAAGGGTTGGAGAGGTGTGGGGGGCCGAGCCCCCGCCAGGCCCAACTCACCCCTTGCCGGGCTTAGGCCGCCTTTTGCGACGCTTGAGAATGGACTCCGAGCCCCCGCCGACGCCGGAATCTGCCCTGGACAAGTAACGCTTCAGATACTCGGCCTTGGAGAGTGGCGGAGCTGCCGCCATGGCAGCGGAGGGCGGAGAAACAGCTTGGCGTTAGGGGCGATTTGCTGAAGCCTCGGCGGTGGGGAGGTGGGGCCAGAACCGGAAGTGACAGAGTGCGTTTGCCGTCGCGAGGGCTGACGGGGGAGAGCACTCCCAGGCTTCCCTGCGAGCGAGCGTGCTTCCGGGGCCTACTCTACAACTTTAAGAGGGCGCATCCACGTTACTTCTGTTTGTCCATCCATCTGCTAATTCAATAAGCTATGCAGCAAGTGCTGTTGTAATCGTGAAGCTACAGCCACACCCCAAACAAGATCTCTGCCCCCAGTACCTTCAGGAGGACCCCAGTATAGTGGTTAAAAGCAGACTCTGGAGTTTCAATGTATCTAAGTTTGAGTTCTGGTTCCATAGCTACCTAGCTTTACGACCTTGGGCAAATCATTTTACAAATTGGAGATAACAAAGACACCAAATTCAATGGTTATGAGGACTGACATAATATTACTATGTAAGGTGCTTGAAATAGTGTTTTGCACATAGTATTATTTTTATCAGTGTAAGTGTGTTTAGATGATGAGGAAAATGCTCTAATAGGCTTCCATGTACACTCAAGGTGGGAAATCAGGAATTCCAAACTAAACATAACTACTATGAAAAGTGTGGAAACCTGTGTAACTTCCCCATGTTTGATATTGATAGTCGCCAGCTAGCTCTTTTAGAGAAACTTTCCAATGAAAAGGACCTGAATCTATTTTCAGCATAGCAAAATAGAAGAAGCTACAGAGATTGAATTCTAATACTCAAGCTTGGGGAGAAAGGAAAGAGTTTTCTTCTTTTGAGCATTAAAAGCTTTACCTGAATTATCTTGTTTAACCCTAAAAATCCTCATATAATTTTATAGCCTTATTTTTCCAAATGAGAAAACTGAAGCTTGGAGAGGTTAATGAAGTTGTGCAACTTCACACAGCTGGTCCTTGGGAGCAGAAATTAGCAAAGTGGGGTGCAAGAGATAACCCAATATTTTAAATTAAATATTAGATATATTTTTATCTCGTGTATAAAAATATAAATGAGATAAAGTATATCTCATGCATATTTTATACACTGTTTTAAAGTATATTAGTCAAAAAACCATTGTTATGCTTTAGAAGTAAGTACACATCTTGAGATATATGTTCAAAAATATACAAAACGAATTTGAAGACCACTGCATTGAAGCTTGAATTTTTTTTAGTTTTTAAATTTTATTTTTTTAATTAACATTATATGCAGTAACACATTAGTTTTAGGCATACAGCATAGTGGTTAGACATTTATATTAATATGATAAAGTGATCCCCAATAAATCTTACATGCATGTGATGCCATACATAGTTATTAGAATATTATTGACTATATTCCCTGTACTGTACTTTTTTTATTGTTCAAGTACAGTTGTCTTTATTTTCTACCCAACACTCCCATCCCTAGCACTCATGCACACCTCCCACCCTTGAACCTACCCTCTTCAGCTTTGTCCATGTGTCCTTTATACATGTTCCTTGACGACCCTTCCCCTAATTTCCCCCAGTACCTCTCTCCCCACATCTCTGGCTACTATCAGTTTGTTCTTTATTTCAATGTCTCTGGATATATTTTGCTTGCTTGTTTATTTTGTTGATTAGGTTCCACTTATAGGTGAATACATACAGTATTTGTCTTTCACCACTTAGCATAATGTTCTCCAGTTCCATCCATGCTGCTGCAAAGGGTAGGAGCTCCTTCTTTCTTTCTGCTTTGTAGTATTCCATTGTGTAAATGTACCACAGTTTTTGATCAGCTCATTTACTGATGGGCACTTAGGTTGCTTTCAGCACTGGGCTGTTATAAATTATGCTGCTATGAACATTGGGGTGCATAGGTTCTTTTGAACTGATGTTTCAGGATTCTTAGGGTATAATCCCAGCAGTGGAATTGCCATGTGAATACGCAGTGCCATTTTTAGTTTTCTAAGGAAATTTCATACTGTTTTCCACAGTGGCTGCACCAGTCTGCATTCCCACCAATAGTGCACTAGGGTTCCCTTTTCTTGACAACATCGCCAGAACTTGTTGTTTGTTGATTTGGTTATGATGGACATTCTGACTGGTGTGAAGTTGTATCTTATTGTGGTATCTCAATTAAAACCATTGGACCATGGTTTTAATTTGCATCTCTCTGATGGCTAGTGATGCTAGTGATGCAAATGAGCATGCTTTCACATGTCTCTGGGCCCTCTTTATGTCTTCTTTGGAGAACTGTCTGTTCAGATTCCTTGCCCATTTTATCATTGGGTTTTTTGTCTTCCTGAGGTGGATTTGTGTGAGTTCTTTATATATTTTGGAGATCAAACTTTTGTCCAAGGTATTATTTGCAAATATATTTTCCATATGTTGGTTCCCCTTTCATTTTGCTGATGTTTCCTTTAGCTGTGCAGAAGCTGCTTTTGTTTTTTATGAAGTCCCATTTTTTTAGTCTTTCCTTTATTTCTTTGCTCTAGGGGACATACTGGTGAAAATATTGCTGTGTAGAATATCTGAGATTTTCCTCTCTATGTTCTCCTCTAGAACTTTTATGGTGTTGTGACTTATATTTAAGTTCTTCATCCACCTTGAGTTTATTTTTGTGTATGGTATAAGTTGGTGGTCAAGTTTCATTTTTTTGCATGTACCTGCCCAGGTTTCCTAACACCATTTGTTGAAGAGGCTATTTTTACTCCATTTTGTGCTTTCTGCCCCCTTTGTTGAATATCAGTAGACTTGGGTTTATTTCTGAGTTTTCTATTCTGTTCCATTGATCTATATGTCATGTTTTTATGCCAGTAGCAGACTGTTTTGATCATAGTGGCTTTGTAATATAGTTTTCCCTCAGGTATTGTGATACCTGATACTTTGTTCTTCTTTTTCAACATCGTTACAGCTATTTAGGGTCATTTATGGGTTCCTATAATATTTTTTACTGTATGCTTATTTTTTTAATGTTTTAAATATATTTTATTGATTATGCTATTACAGTTGTCCCATTCCCCCCTTCATTCCCCTCCACCCTGCACACCCTCTCCCACCCACATCCCGCCCCTTTAGTTCATGTCCATGTGTCTTAAGTTCTTTCACTTTTACATTTCCCATACTATTCTTGCCCTCCCCCTATCTTCTACCTACCATCTATGCTACTTATTCTCTGTACCTTTCCCCCCTCTCTCCTCCTCCCACTGCCCTGTTGCTAATCCTCCATGTAATCTCCGATTCTGTGGTACTGTTCCATTCCTGTTCTAGTTGTTTGCTTAATTTGTTTTTGTTTCTGTTTTAGGTGTGGTTGTCAATAATTGTGAGTCTGCTGTCCTTTCACTGTTCATCTTTTTTATCTTCTTTTTCTTAGGTAAGTCCCTTTAACATTTCATATAATAAGGGCTTGGTGATGATGAACTCCTTGAACTTGACCTTATCTGAAAAGCACTTTATCTGCCCTTCCATTCTAAATGAAAGCTTTGCTGGATAGAGCAATCTTGGTTGTAGGTCTTTGGATTTCATGACTTGGAATACTTCTTTCCAGCCCCTTCTTGCCTGTAAGGTCTCTTTTGAGAAATCAGCTGACAGTCTGATGGGAACTCCTTTGTAGGTGACTGTCCCCTTAGCTCTTGCTGCTTCTAGGATTTTCTCCTTCATTTTAATCTTGGCTAATATAATGATGATGTGCCTTGGTGTGTTCCTTCTTGGGTCCAACTTCTTTGGGACTCTCTGAGCTTCCTGGATTTCCTGGAAGTCTATTTCCTTTGGGGAAAGGAAATAGATTGGGGAAATTCTCCTTTATTATTTGTTCAAATAAGTGTTCCACTTGTGGCTGTTCCTCTTCCCCTTTTGGTACCCCTATAATTTGGATGTTGGAGCGTTTAAAGATGTCCTGGAGGTTCCTAAGTAAGCCTCTTCTCATTTTTTCAAATTCTTGTTTCTTCATTCTTTTCTGTTTGGTCATTTTTATCCTCCTTCTGGTCCACTCCATTGATTTGAGTCCCAGTTTCCTTTCCATTACTATTGGTTTCCTGTGCATTTCCATTCATTTCAATTAGTTTAGCCTTCATATGTTCCTCTAATTTGTGACTATAATCAACCAGTTGTGTGAGCATCCTAATCACCAATGTTTTGAACTGTGCATCTGATAGGTTGGCTATCTCTTTGTCACTTAGTTGTATTATTTCTGGAGCTTTGATCTGTTCTTTCATTTGGCCATTTTTTTTTGTCTTGTCATGTGTGTTACATATGAAAGACGGAGCCTTAGGTGCTCACCAGGGCAGGGCAACCCAGTCACTGGGCTGTAACACAGTATCTGGGGGCGGGGTCACAGAGGGCACAATGGCGCTTGCTCCACTCTCTGTCAGATTTCAGTCCCTTCCACTGCTTTCCCCAAGCAAACTGGGACTTTCTGGTGCTGATTCCCAGGTGGGAGGGCTTGTATATGTTTTAGGTGTCTCCAATGAACTTTCCTGTTAGGCTGGGAGTCTCTCCCTGCACCTCGACCCCTACAGGTGTTTTCAATCGGTGTTTCCAGGCTTTATTTCCCAGCGCTGGAACCCTGGGTTTCAAGGTCTGTCTCACTCCCCAGTTATCTGCGCACGAATGTGGGACTGCCACCAGTTAGCCAGCCGACTTGTGTGCAGTGCAAAGCTTCACGGTCACCACCTCACTGAGCCTGCATGTTGCCACCCCATGCCCAGGGTCTGCCAGCCCCCGCCTGCACGCCCAGGGTGCCTTGCGCGCCCAGTGCCACCACTTCCTGTGCCAAGACCACTCTCTGCTGGGCCGCCCGACTCCGCCCTGCCTACTGGTCTGGATAAATGTGTTTATTTCAGCTCCTTGGCTATCCAACTTCCATGAAGTTCAATTTTCTGTCAGTTCTGGTTGTTATCTTGTTTCTAAATTTTTGTTGTCCTTATTTTGGTTGTGTGAGGAGGCACAGTATGTCTACTTATG